CTGGTCTTTTTGCAAACAACCGTTTTAGCCTGACACAGATTTTCTAGAGGTTCTTATGGAGTACCATAGATGTGAGGGGTGATAATATTTTTCTCTTATATAACCAACCCCCGTATCCAGATATCTCTTTTTGTTTTATTTTCGCGCTTAATTTTCTCTATAATTTCTTCTTTTTTTTAAAAACAATAAAATTCGATGACGACTCTTATTTTTTCGAGTTAAGTTAATCAATAACTTAATTTCAATTTTTCCTCCACGACAAATTTTTTAACCAAATTTTAATATTTCATTAATTAAAATAGTTTTATAAAAAAAATATATGAAAAAATCAAAATAATATAAATACACTATATATATATATATATATATATATATATATATATATATATATATTAAATTTTCTTACAAGAAAATATATTTTAATCCTATGCGTTTCTCGTATTAGTAATTGATTAATACTTTGGTAGCACCATCTCTCTGATTTTTCAGTTTTTCACATGTCACACTAATTGCACCAACTCTTTTAGATTTTTCAGTATGTCACATGTCACATTAATTAATCGAGTTAACTTAAGACTACCAAATCCCATTTTTTCTGAGACTTAATTTATCAATAAATGAATAGAAAAACTTACTATACTCAATATTTTCATGCTCTCCGTCAAGCTATTGCAGGAACGTGAAGGAGGAATGGTGGAATTAAGTTGTAAACAAGCATTGAAGGTGATATGGAAAGCGTGTGTACTGTCCAAAGTTAAAAAAATTTGGTTAGAGGCTGATGCAAGATAGGCTCCCAACAAGGTTTCAACTTACAAGAAGGGGAATTATCATCAACAATGACAATGTCTGGCTGTACACGGTGGAAGACATCCACCATTTGCTTCTCTTGTAACGGATCAAGGGTGATTTGGGATAAAATTCAGACTTGGCTGGGAATTGAGCTTGCTGCGGAATCCATCTGCTGTAATCATTTTTTGCAGTCAGTGGAAGTTTTGAGAAAGAAATGTGCAAACAAAAGAGCGGGAGTAGTTTGGTTGGCGGTATGTTGGTGCATATGGAGACAACGTAATGACATATTATTTAACAATGTTGTGGGAGATCTAGATGAAATCGTGCACAACGTAAAAATGTACTCTTGGTGATGGTTGGCCATAGGTTCTAAAGTGAAGGTTATGTGTAATTTTTATTAATGGTCTAAATGTCCTTTAGACTATATATAAGTAGATGTAAGGTTGTTTGTTAGTCTTATCTCTCTGAAATTATAATTGACATACATTTTAGTAAAATTAACTTGACAGCAATATGTTGAATAGGATATTCTAATTTGAAGTCTTCAACATGTCGAATAAGATGTTCCAACTAGGAGATAAGACATTGCGTCTGCAGCAGCTGACGGTTATGTTTCAGCTGCGATATGTTAGCTTCTGAATATTCAGGGAATATTTAGTTAGCTTATGTGGCGTCCAAGATTGACAAATCAGAATATTTTATGTTGGTTTTTAAAGATATGCATAGTTTTTAAATATGGAGATATTTTAGGAAACTAATGATTGAAGACCTATTTTCTTGGAGATGCATTTGCAGACTTTGTGCAGTCTCACTGCTGCATTTTTGAAGTCCAACCCAGTCAGAATAATGTTATAAATTGACTGGTGTATACATAGTATTAGGTGGAACTTACGTGTGTGTTTTTGATAGGGTTTTCAAAAAATTTATTGTTGGATTGTAAGTTTTGTGTCAGATGTTCATAAGCTTTTAAGCATTGAAAATTTGTATGTCAGATGCTCATAAGTTGTTAAGCATTGAATATTTGTTTGTCAATTCTCATAAACTTTTAAAAATTGAGTTTTGTGTGTTTTGGAAGAGTGACTTCCGATTTTGTTCTCTACTTGTGTTTAGAGTTGTTCCAATTACTGAGTGTAATTGAAGAGGAATTTGAGGAAGGTCTCATACCTAGGTGTGTCTTAGGTAGAAGTTAACAAAGGGCAGTGATAAGTGCATAGGCTGTAAACTGAGATGTTTGATGTGAGGTCTACAAATTGATATATCTAGTTAATTTTGTCCCTGCTTGATAGCCCCAAAGTAGGAAGATTATTCCGAACTGGATAAACATATATGTGTTCTTTATATTCAACACTGTTTATTTTGGTTATACATCTTCTTGTTGCGTGTTAAAGTCGGATCTGGTGTCTTGACATCTTTTAGAATATTCAGAATCTGATAGCCAAAATTTCAGTTAAAAATTTATTTGTATTTGGGATTCTGAGTATCCCCTATACTTGGTTTTAAATACATAATTGATTATCCAAAAAAATATTAGTCATATCCATTGGTTTTTTATTGTTTCTGATATACTTTTTTCAAAGATCAATCAACCATTAATTAAAGAAAGAAATATGGTTGAATAAAAATGGTTGGATCCCATTTTGAACATAGATTTTACAAATTAAAAGAGTGATTTTAGCTCCGCCTCCCTTCTTTTTTCAACCTTAGTTTTCTTTTATTTTTCCTCTACTATAGAGGGATGGTTTTAGAAATAATTTTTGATCCAAAATCACCTCTTTAAATTATTTTTTCCTTTTCTTTTCATTTAAATAACTGATTTCTCATATATTTTTAGCTTTTTTTCTTAGTGATTTCGGTGTCTTAGTGCGGCGTTGTGTTGGTCGTCCTATTGCAGCGTTATTTTATTTTTTCGTTTCGGTGCAGTGTTTGTTTGGTTCAGATCGACAAATTAATTTTGATTCAGTGTATTTCCAATCAATAACTTTGACGTCGTCAACGCTACAGACTCGGAGACATGGATATTCAGAGCATTTCAATTTCGTTATATTTGTAGGCTTTGTCACATTGTAGATATTTTACCGTTATATGCTATTAATAGGGTGTTCTGAGTTTGTTCACAAATTCATCCTTTTACGTTTTATAGTTATTTGGAATTTGTATTATTCTATATATTTTATCAATTTGAATGAATGAATGTCGTTTTTAGTCCCAAAAAATGGTTGGATCCAAATTTGTACAGATCAAGATTTTAGAATTAATGTACTAATTAATCTATAGACTCAATACAAAGGTTAAAATACTATTATCTTAATTTAAGGTGGAAGCAAAACAAACACATGATAATGCATACACACAACTTTATGATCTACGACGTATTAATCTATGAGTTATTAACTTACTATTAATTATTATAAAAATACTTGTACGGATCCAAGAAGAAGGCTTTCTAGGCAGTGATAGTGATAATTTTGGAACACAAAAGTGTAGAGATAAGTGTTTAATTCTTATTGATTTGTGGATCTTTTTTGTTAAGAAGATCCTAAAGTCCCACATTGGTTGGAGATAGAGCATTGAAAGAGTTTATATAGAGTGACACTCCTCACCTTACCAACCAGTTTTGTATGGTTGAGTTAAGTCAAACTCTAAGATGGTATCAAAGCCTATCAATCAGACCATGGGCATCCACCGTTGATATTCACGCAACCGATACTCTCAATGTCTTCCTCAATCGATACTCTCAATACCTTAAATACTCTCGAATAGATAGAAGAGATAATCTACTTGAGGGGTATATTCAGAAATTAATTAATTATTAAATAAAAATCTAATTATATATATAAAAAGGCTATTATAATAGATTTTAAAGAGTAATATGAATTTTTTTTAAAATTAAATGACTAAAAAAAACTGAGATAAACATATGGATAAAAAGGATATTAAACCCGGGACGGAGTTAGAAATTTTAATTCATGAGAGTTAATTTTATAACCCTAATATAATAGAGATACTTTAAAATCTATATTATATCGTATCTAATACGTGTTGATACGATGATACATCTATCTCGTATTGTATCTAGTATGCATCGATATGGTGATACAGTTTGATATGTATCAAAGAAAATATATGAATTCTTTTCACTAAATTTTTGTATAATGTTAGAAAAAAATTTAACTAATATTTAATTTTAATATTTTATATTTGTATCTTAAATGTATTATATCCTAAATTATTTAACAGCTAACGTGTCCGTGCTTCATTATTTATAGCATAAAAATATTACTTTTTTATATTATAAGGCTCATTTGAAATCTTTCTTTTAATATATTATGTTTTATCAATCTTCAGACACATTAATTATTATTGTTTATAAATACATTATTTATTAAAACTTTAAAAAAATAAAAAATCAAAGTAAATACGTCTTTAAACAAATGATAACTTACTAATAGTTATTCATAAAAATACATAACTAAACTAATAACTTTCTTTAATATACTTTATATTTGTTGGATATATATAAACAGGAAAAATATTATATTAATATGTTAAAGTCTAATATCGATGATCAATAGTCAGTTATTTAAAGTAGTTTGGAAATGTTGGAACAAAGGAGGAATGAGAAGGAGAAGGAGGAGAAGAAGAAGAAGGAGAAAGAGAAGAAGAGATAAATGATATAGAAAGTTGTTATTGTGTTTCTAATTAATTGTGATGCATATTGTGTATAAAATTACAAACTACTAAATCTTTTATATAGACTTACAAAGCCCAGGCCTAAAATACAATTTGACATACTACTTAATTGTTGTATTTGACAGACTCGAATACAGCTGACAGCCTCTCCACAACTAGTTGGTTCGACACACCTTCGACACCACTAGTTCGACATACACCCAACGCTTTTCGACAAGACAAAAATTACATCTTCTAACACACACCCTAATTCATGTTCTTGAGACTTCTCATCCCGACGCTTCTCTTTAACTCGTTGAATCTGACTTTCTTCATAGTTTGGTGAGTATGTCAACTAGTTGTACTTTTATCTTACAATGCTCTAGGTCTAGCTTTCCTTTGTTGACTTGATTCCTCAGAAAGTGATACCTCCTTTCTATATGCTTACTTTGACCATGACACACTGGGCGATTCGCGGGTCGATAGCTGACTTGTTGTCCACAAACGGCTTCATCTTCGTAGGTTCCATTATCTTGAATTCTTCAAGCAACATTTCGATCCATGTTGCTTGGCATGCAGTATATGATGCAGCCACATATTCCGCTTCGCATGATGAAAAAAGCCACAATGTTTTTCTTTCTTGATCTCCAAGAGATTGGAGCATCTTCGATCATTAAAATGTAGCCTACAATAGTTTTCTTTTCGTCTTGATCTCCACTGAAATTTGAATCAGTGTATCCATAGACTTCTAAATCTGTGATGTTCTTCGACTTCTTTGGCATCAGCACACCATGATCAATTGTTCCCTTTATGTATCTCAGCACCCTCTTTACTCCAATGAGATGACACTCTTGAGATTTCTCCATAAATCGGCTCAACAATCCGAAACTTTGACAAATATCGGGTCTAGTGTTGCAAAGATACCTCGAGGATCCAATGATTTGTTTGTATAAGGTCGAACTTACAAATTCATCATTCGTTTCCCTTTTCAACTTTCCCTCAGTTTCTAATAGAGTGGCAACTGCATTACAGTTGCTCATATTGAACCTCTTCAGTATATCTTAGGCATACTTTGTTTGATGCAAAAATACTCCTTCTTCAGTGCCTTTGAGTTCCATCCCTAGGAAATATGAAAGATTCCCTAAGTCGGACATCTCAAATTCCTGCATTAGTTTCGACTTAAATTTCATTATCCCAACTTTGTCTACTTCTATAATTAGTAAATCATCTACATAAAGGCATAAAATGATTCGAATGACACTGTTGACATCATTTATATACACTCCATACTCAGAGACATACTTTATGAAACCTGCTTTGATCAGGAAGCTATTTATTCTCTTATTACAAGCTCTAGGGGCTTGTTTCAAACCATATAGAGACTTCCTTAATCTATATACCTTTGAATCCTGCCCTTTGACGTCGAATCCTGGTGGTTGAGTAACATAAACCTCTTCCTCTAATGGTGTATTCAGAAATGTTGAATTTACATCCAACTGATGTATCTTCCATCCTCTATATGTTATTGTCAAAACAACAATTCTAATTGTTTCTAGCCTCGCAACAGGTGCATAAGCTTTGTCAAAGTCGATACAAGGTTTTTGTAGAAAACCTCTCGCCAATAGTCTTGCTTTATACTTGGAAATCTCACCATTCGGCCTTCGTTTCACCTTGTAGATCCACTTTACATCAATTGGCTTCTAATTAGTTCTTTCGGCAAGCTCTAAGGTCTTGTTCTTCTTAATTGCTGAGTTCTTATTTCATGGCTTCACACCAATTTGAATTACTCATGGCTTGATTCAAATCAATTGGTTCCGCTTCAGCCATCATCACGGCTTCTTCGTTAAGTCACCATTTGCATCAACTGCTTGATATGAAAATATTTCATATCCAACTAGCCATGTCGACTCAGTTCTTGTTCTTATCGACCTTCTTGCATTTTTCTCAGGTGGTTCTTCATTTCGACTGGTTGAAGCATCATCTTGTTCATTTCGACTGGTTGAAGCCTCATCTTGTTGATCTTTTTTTAAACACAATTGTGAGTGTATCTGATTCCTGTCGAACTGAACCTTGACTCTAGTCTCACCCTTTGCTTTCATCTATAAGAACATCTCGATTGATTACTAGTTTATCATCGTTTGGCGAATACAACTTTTATGCATCATTCGAATGATAACCTATGAGCACCATGATTTCACTTCGATCATCCAGTTTCTTTCTCAATTGTTCAGGTATATGCCTGAAGCACATTGATCCAAAAACTCTAAGATGACTCACATTTGGCTTCGACCTTGTCCAAGTCTCATAAGGTGTCTTTTCTACCATCTTCTTGGTTGAACACCTGTTTAGAATGTATATTATTGTCGAAGCTGCTTTAGCCCAAAATCTCTTAGGCATATCTTTAGCTTTCATACTTCTTGTGATGTCCAATATACTTCTATTCTTTCTCTAAGCTATGCCATTATGCTGAGGTGTATATGGTGCAATAACCTCATGCTCTATACCTTCCTCATTGCAAAATATAGCAAATTCAACAGAAGTATATTCACTACCACCATCAGTTTTCAACTTCTTCAACTTGCATCCACTTTGTTTCTCAACATGCAATTCAAACTTCTTGAACTGTGTGACTACCTCACTCTTCATTTCAATAAGTTAAACCCACATATGTCTGGTTAATTCATCAATGAAGGTAAGGAAATATTTGTTACCTCCATTTGACTTTACTTCAAAAGGTCCACACACATCAGAAATAACCAGCTCCAACTTTTGCTTTGATTTCATGGACAAATCATGTTTGAATGATTTCCTAGCCTGCTTTGCTTTGCAACATTCTTCACACACCTGCTTTGGTTCCTTTACGTAAGGTAGCCCAAACACCATCCTTTTCTGGTTGAGCATACCTAAACTTCTGAAGTTTAGATGTCCATACCTGTGGTGCCATAGCCAGTTCTTGTCTTCTTCTGTAGTTGAAGCAAGACACAAGTGATCTGATGTGTTGAGTTTAACTTTGAATGTTTTTTTCTTCTGCCAACGGTGCTTTCATTATCATTCTCTCATCAGTCCTATATACCTTCATTTGATTCTTTTCTATCTTCATATTGAAACCTCTTGCAAGTAATTGACCTACATTTATCAAGTTACTTATCATAGAAGGTACTTACAACACTTCAATGATGGTAGCTTTTCAACCATCATTTCTGACAATCGAAATATCTCTTTTACAACCTGATTTGGTGTGCCTGCCATATGCAAAATTTATCACCTTTTTTACTAACTCATCTAACTTGGTAAACCAGTTTTTATTTCCAGTCATGTAGTAATGTATCCTGACTCCAGATACCACGTGTTGGTTTTCTTAGTGTTTGACTGAGTGTTGACCATCAACTCCACATCATCAGAATCATTATCTCCAGCTCGTATATATTGAGCTTCATCATTATCTTTCGCCCTTGATGCCTTCCTTCTTCGACAATCTCGAGCATAGTGACCAAAACCTTGATAGTTGTAACACTGCACCTCTTTCGTGTCAACTTTCTTCCCAGAATACTTGTTGCACATATCTTTCTTGATCGAATCAGTATTCTTGCTTGACTTTTCATCACTAGCAAGATTCTTTCGCTGCTTCGACTTATTTTTTCCATATTTCTTGATGAATCTTGATTGCAGTGCTTGTTCAGCCGCCTTCTCTCTTTCTGAGTTTCTCTACTTCAACCTCATCTCATGAGCCTCTAAAGAAGTTTGAAGTTCTTCTAACTTCATCTCAGATAGAGTCTTGGCCTCTTCAATTGTCACTACAATGTACTCAAAATTTGCAGTAAGAGGTCTCAACATTTTCTCAATCTTCTGCAGATCCGTAACTGATTCACCACGTGCCTTCATCTGGTTCGTTAACGTCATAATTCTTGAGAAGTATGCAGAGATCGATTCGTCTTCTTTCATCTGAATCATCTCGTATTGCTTCCTCAATGTATGCAACTTCACCTTTTTCAATTTCTCATCTCCACCATACAAGTTCTTTAACTTTCCCCAAACTCCTTTTGTTATTTTTTCTTCAATTATCTTCTCAAACACATTAAAATTCACACACCGGTGAATCGCAACCAGAGCTTTGTGATACCAATTTGTTGGAACAAAGTATTTTCAAGAAAGATGATTGATAGAAAGAAGAAGAAGAAGAAGAAGAAGAAGAAGAAGAAGAAGAAGAAGAAGAAGAAGAAGAAGAAGGAGGAGGAGGAGGAGGAGGAGGAGGAGAGAGAGAGAGAGAGAGAGAGAGAGAGAGAGAGAGAGAGAGAGAGAGAGAGAGAGAGAGAGAGAGAGAGAGAGAGAGAGAGAGAGAGAGATGTTATTATGTTTCTAATGAATTGTGATGCATATTGTGTGTAAAATTACAAACTACTAAGCCCTTTATATAAGTTTACAAAGCCCAGATCCAAAATACAATTCGACATACTACTTAACTGTTGTATTCGACAGACTTAAATACAGCTGATAACCTATCTACAACTAGCCGATTCAACACACCTTCGACACCACTAATTCAACATACACTCAACGCTCTTCGACAAGACAAGAATTATATCTTCTTTCTGGAAAAACATAGTTAGCATTTACATTAATATCTCATACTACTATCATTTAAAAAACATAGTGGAGGCACGTGCCCACATAGTGGTTAGTGTAGCTCAGTCTCTGATCAGGCTTACAAATAATTTCGAAATTCTCTCTCCAAAATCTCTCTCCAAGCATGCTATAAAGAGTAGTACATATATTAAGTTGTTTGCAAGAGACAAGTGATCCATCGTCCATTTATGATACTTAATCTCTTGTAGTATAATCTCGGACATATTGCATTAAATTTAGTCCTTAAATCACAGCAATCCAAGTTGTCAATTTATTTCTATCTACATATACCTACATTTCCACACTCACAATATTCCATTGAGAAACAACCAATTAAGCTATAACAATAACATGTATGTTACTCACAATAATGCTCAATATATTAACTTGACATTTGTTAAATATTATTGCTATATACATACTTCCATCGTAACGAATTATAAATAAATTTGATTTTTTTTAACATTTAACAATTAATATATATAATCTAGGGTTAATACCTATTTTTACCCCTGACATATGGGGTGTATTTGAAAAACCCCCTGTCAAAAAAAAAATTCCAATTGTTACCTTGACAAATTTTAAAAGTTTCAATTTTTACCTTGAGGATGCCACATCACCTAAAAGGCTGATGTGACTTATATTTTTGTTATATTTTTATTATTATTTTAATGGCATAGCTTGATTAATTGTCATTTTTAATTAATTTTTAATTTTTAATTCCATATGGCATTTATATTAATATTTTATTAATTGAGTGTTAATTCAAAGTTTAAAAAATTTTGTCCTTCAACAGGAATCAAACCATGGACATACTGTCTGCAGTGAACGCTTCTTATCACTAGACCAATGCATTTTCTTTGTTACATATATGCATCAATAAATATTCATATCATTAACATATTAATTACAATTATCAATAAATTTTCTTAACTAGTTGGTTTAAATAATTTTAAAAAAAATGTTTTACATATTTTATCTGTAACTTTTTTTAAATTTTAAATTTTTAAAAATCACTTAAATTTAAAATTATTTTAAATTTAAAATTACTTTAAATATTTTTCGTAAATAAAACTGATTGTTTTTAATATTTTGATTTTATATTTAAGTTAGTTGATGTTAAAATTAATCTTTTAATTTTAAAAAAATAAGTTGAAAAATTTTATAATAATTATTTAAAAGAAAATAACTTTTTAAAGCTAAACAATTTTTAAAAAAAACTTTTTAAATTATTTAACAATTTTTAAAAAAAAACTTTTTAAATTATTTAAAGATTTATTTACGAAAAAAAATTTCAACTTATTTTTTTAAAATTAAAAGATTAATTTTAACATCAACTAACTTAAATATAAAATCAAAATATTAAAAACAATCAGTTTTATTTACGAAAAAATATTTAAAGTAATTTTAAATTTAAAATAATTTTAAATTTAAGTGATTTTTGAAAATTTAAAATTTAAAAAAAGTTACAGTAAAAAGATAAAATATGTAAAACATTTTTTTAAAAATCATTTAAACCAACTAGTTAAGAAAATTTATTGATAATTGTAATTAATATGTTAATGATATGAATATTTATTGATGCATATATGTAACAAAGAAAATGCATTGGTCTAGTGGTAAGAAGCGAAAATTTTAGCCACATCAGCCTATTGAAACTTTTAAAATTTGTCAAGGTAACAATTGGAATTTTTTTTTTGACAGGGGGGTTTTTCAAATACACCCCATATGTCAGGGGTGAAAATAGGTATTAACCCTATAATCTATATATGAACTATATACATTAATATATTAATTGTCAAAATATTAGGTGGACACGTATTATTGTTTTAATCTACTGTTTTATTAGTCTTAGTCTGTTTGAATAAGACCTATTCTTTAGGAGAAATAGGGTTTCTTATTTGTTCCTACTCTATAGGCATGTAAAGAGTAGAGTTGGTTATTTCTTTTTACTTGTAAGATGGCTATATATTAGCTACTGATAAATCGAATAATATGCATTCCTCCACTTACTTTTGAAGCTTTGTTTAAATCTGATTTCCAACATTTGATATCGGAGCTTTCAAAAGGGGGCTGATTAAATAGGAGTGTGAGAATGAGCAAAGCATGACAAACTCTGAGAAATTTGTGACTCCAAGATTTGATGGCCATTATGATCATTGGTCGATGTTGATGGAGAATTTCTTGAGGAGCAAAGAGATGTGGAACCTGGTGGATGAAGGTATTCCAGCACCAGCAATTGGGATTTCTTCGGCAAGTGAGGCCCATAGGAAAAGTGTCGAAGAAACAAAACTCAAAGATCTGAAAGTTAAGAATTATCTCTTTCAAGCGATTGACAGAGAGATCATGGAAACCATTCTTGACAAAAGAACATCAAAGGCAATATGGGATTCAATGAAACAGAAGTACCAGGGATCAACCAAAGTAAAGAGAGCGCAACTGCAGGCATTGATGAAGGAGTTTGAAATGCTGGTTATGAAAGAAGGAGAAAAGATCGATGGCTTCATTTCACAAACCCTCATGGTGGTAAATAAAATGAAAGTGAATGGAGAAGATATGAAGCAAAGCACAGTGGTGGATAAGATTTTGAGATATTTGACTCCCAAATTCAATTATGTTGTATGTTCAATTGAGGAGTTAAATGACATAGATACTATGACTGTTGATGAGCTCCATGGAAGTTTGCTTGTTCAAGAGCAAAGAATGCATGGGAATTAGGAGGAAGAACAAGCATTAAGAATTTCTTATGACGACAAGCCACGACGGGGCAGAGGCTCATTCTGAGTGGGTCAAGGTAGAGGAAGAGGGAGGTCATCTATGAATAGAGCCACTGTAGAATGTTTCAAATGTCATCAGTTGGGACACTTTCAATATGAGTATCCTGATTGGGAGAAACGAGCTAACTGTGCTGAACATGTAGAGGAAGGAGAAGAGGTTCTGCTAATGTCTTATGTTGATGCTGGTCAAACTAAAATAGAAGAAGCTTGGTTTCTTGACCCGGGGTGTTCAAATCACATGACCGAAAACAAAGAATGGTTCTCAGAGCTAGAGGAAGGATTTAAACAAACAGTGAAGCTTGGGAATGACACTAGAATGGTAGTGGTAGCTAAAGGGAGTGTACGACTTCAAGTAAATGGTATTATTCAAGTAATATCAAATGTTTTTTACATACCTGAGTTGAAAAGTAATTTGTTAAGCATAGAGAAACTTCAAGAGAAATGTTTAGCTATTCTAATTCAGCAAGGGACTTGTGCAGTTTATCATCCAAAAATAGGGTTAATTATGCAAACTAACATGAGTGGAAATAGAATGTTTTATGTGTTAGCATCTATGGCAGCAGAAGGAAACTCGATGTGTCTTCAGGCTGAACTTTCCTCCGATAAAGAATCACACTTGTGGCATCGTTGATTTGGCCATTTGAGTTACTCAGGATTAAGAACACTTGCATACAAGAAAATGATAGACGGTGTGCCTCTGCTCAAAGTTCCAGAAAAGTTATGTGAAACTTGTTTGGTTGGCAAACAACATAGAGGATCATTTCCGAAACAAAGTTCTTGGAGAGCATCAAAGCAACTTCAACTTGTGCATTTTGATTTGTGTGGGCCTATCAAACCTTCTTCCAACAGTGACAAAAGGTATATCATAAGTTTTATTGATGATTTTTCACGTAAAACTTGGGTTTATTTTTTACATGAAAAATCAGAAGCCTTTAGTGCATTCAAGAATTTCAAAACATTTATTGAAAAAGAGGCTGGTGCATATATAACTTGTTTGAGAACAGATAGAGGAGGTGAGTTTAACTCAAATGAATTTGGAGAATTTTGTGAAGCTCATGGTATAAGCAGGTAGTTGACAGCAGCATACACTCCACAACAGAACGAAGTTGCCGAACGAAAGAACTGAACAATCATGAATGCAGTACGCTCAATATTAGCTGATAAGAAAGTTCCAAAAGTGTTTTGGCCAGAAGCTGTAAATTGGTGTGTTCACATTCAAAATAGGAGCCTGACCGCAACAGTAAAAGAGAATACTCCAGAGGAAGCATGGAGCGGAGTGAAGCCAATAACAACTTATTTTCGGGTGTTCGGTTGCATAGCACACGCTCATATTCCAGACCAAAAGAGGAGCAAGTTAGATGCCAAAAGCAAGAAGTGTGTATTCCTGGGGGTTAGCAATGAATCCAAGGCCTATAGATTATATGATCCAACCACTAAGAAGATCATCATCAGCAACGGTGTTCAATTTTAAGAAGAAGAGAGCTGAGATTGGGGAAGAACTGAATTTGGATGTGCTAGAAGATGATAATGAAAGTGAAAATGAGCTTGTCGGCGAGGATGATATTGAGGAGGTCATGGGCAGAAATACTCCTTATGATTATTCACCATAAAATGAAGTAAACATTCAAGAAGTTACAAATGAAGGGAGGGTTGAAAGAGTCATAACAAAACCAGTATGGATGGCAGACTATGAAACAGGAGAAGGTCTCTCAGAAGAAGAAGATATGCATGCAATGATGATGGTAACAGAGAATGATCCATTTTCATTTGCAGAGGTTGTCAAAAGCAAGAAGTGGAAAGAGGCTATGGAAGCAGAAATGGAAGCTATAGAGAAGAACCAAACATGGGAATTGATGGATTTGCCTAAGGATGCCAAGCTTATTGGAGTTAGGTGAGTCTTTAAGACCAAACTTAATGAAAATGGGGATGTCAAGAAACATAAAGCGAGATTGGTAGCTAAGGTTTATGCACAACAGTATGAAGTTGATTACACCGAAGTATTTGCACCAGTAGCAAGACTCGATACCATTCGAACAATACTTTCAGTAGCAGCACAGTCTGGCTGGGAGGTTTTTCAGCTTGACGTAAAAAGTGCTTTCCTTCACGGTGAACTCAAGGAGGAAGTATTTGTTCAACAACCTGAAGGGTTTGTTAAGAAGGGAGAAGAAAAGAATTTTTACAAGCTAAAAAAGGCTCTATATGGCCTTAAGCAAACGCCAAGGGCGTGGTACAACAAAATTGAGTCTTACTTTCTGCGTGAAGGCTTCGAGAAATGTTCCAGTGAGCATACTTTGTTCACCAAGTCAAAAGGAGGTAAAATGTTAATAATTAGCCTTTATGTAGATGACTTAATTGTTACTGGAAGTGATGTGAGCATGTGTATGGAATTTAAAAGGTCAATGATGATAGAGTTTGATATGTCCGATTTAGGAAGAATGAGGCACTTCTTGGAATGTAAGTGCTGCAAAATTCTGATGGTATTTTTATTTGTCAAAGAAGATATGCACGAGAAGTGTTAGCAAGATTCGAGATGGAAAACAACAATAGTGTAAATCCAATTGTACCAGGAACAAAGTTGTCAAAAGATGAAGGAGAAACTAAAGTTGATGCAACATTGTTCAAACAAATGGTTGGGAGTCTCATGTATTTAACTATAACTCGTCCTGACTTAATGTATGGTGTAAGTCTCATAAGCAGGTACATGTCTAGACCAACCATGTCACATTGGTTGGCAGCCAAAAGAATTTTGAGGTATTTAAAAGGGATAACTGAGCTAGGCATTTTCTACACAAAGAATGAAGGTTTTTCAAAACTATTGGCATTCACAGATAGTGACTATGCGGGTGATCTTGATGATAGAAGAAGTACATCTGGATATGTGTTCATGATAGGATCTGGAGTTGTATCCTGGTCATCTAAAAAACAGCCAGTGGTGACTTTATCAACTACTGAGGCCGAATATATCGCAGCAGCTCTATGTGCTTGTCGGTGTATATGGCTAAAGAGAATCTTGAGAAAGATTGGAGTGGAGCAGGTTGAAGGGACTATAATTCAATGTGACAGCAGTTCTGCCATTCAGTTGGCTAAGAATCCAGTTTTTCACGGAAAAAGTAAGCATATTGATGTGTGATTTCACTTTTTAAGAGATTTAGTGAGTGAAGGTGTTGTAGAATTAAAGTACTGCAACTCTCAGGATCAAGTAGCAGACTTGATGGCAAAACCACTTAAACTTGAGCAGTTTGAAAAACTACGTGGTATGCTTGGAATGGTTAGAGCGTCAGAGTTAAACTAAAATACATGTGTTTTAGTTTAAGGGAGGGAATGTTAGGTGGACACGTAATATTGTTTTAATCTACTATTTTATTAGTCTTAGTCTGTTTGAATAAGACCTATTCTTTAGGAGAAATAGGGTTTGTTATTTGTTCCTACTCTATAGGCATGTAAAGAGTAGAGTTGGTTATTTCTTTTTACTTGTAAGATGGCTATATATTAGCTACGGATAAATCGAATAATATACATTCCTCCACTTACTTTTAAAGCTTTGTTTAAATCTGATTTCCAACACAAATATACTAAATTGAAATTGCTTAGAGTTTACTTGTTAATTGCATTTAGTTCTACAATATTCGTTATAATTAAAAGTCTACTTGCAGTTGCATTGGGTTTTCAATCATCAAAAAGTTTTATTTAGACGGTTAATAAATTCTTTTTCTCGTGCATCAATGTCTTTCTATGACTCCACACCGTTGGGAAGGACACTACACCGTTGGGAAGGATTGCAACATAGTTCTTACCATAAGTGATGATATGTTCATACTAAATGTCGGAAAAAAACCAAATTCATCCTTAAATGATATTTACATTTTCATTTGAGTTCTTGAGAGAATGAAGATATGCTAAAATCTCTCTTGTTTGATTATATTTACAATAAAATTGGTTGAGTATGATGAGCCATTAAAGTTGATAAACTGAGAAAGATCATTGTTTGAAAACCTTGTAAAAGAATACTGGTCTCATTTTTAATCAGCAGAATCACGTTGAAGTGAAGGAAAATTGTACCAGCTTTTTTTGATTGTGGGATTTTTAAAATAAATAAAAAATTGTTCAATGTTATTTAGTAAAAATGAAAAATAAACTTATAAACTGAATCTTAAAATAAGGAGTGCCATCATTTCTAAACTTATTTTAGATGTAAATGGTCAATGATTTGAATAAATACATTATCTATCTATATATATATATATATATATATATATATATATATATATATATATATATATATATATATATATATATATATATATATATATATATATATATATATATATATATATATATATATATATATATATATATATATATATATATATATATATATATATATATATATATATATATATATATATATATATATATATATATATATATATATATATATATATATATATATATATATATATATATATATATATATATATATATATATATATATATATATATATATATATATATATATATATATATATATATATATATATATATATATATATAATATGAAAATAATATGAAAGTGTATAAAATAATTTCTTTCTATTACAATAGTGATAATATAATATGAGAGTGTATAAAATAATGATATGAGAGTATTTAAATACTAGAGTGTTGAATATGAGAATGGTGGATGATATTGTATTTAATGTCTATAATAAATGAGGTAAGTAGATAAGTCATGTAGTATAATATTTAAATATATATGTGTAAGTGTAATAATATAAGTAGATATAATAATACGTAACAATAATAATAAATGATATAACTGTAATGAGTGTAATAATGAATGTGTTAATAATATAGAAAAGATTTTTAAACCCTTAAATAAGTCATCTTTTATGATAATAATCATGGTGTAAAATGTAGAGATTTGTTGAAGAGTTAAGTCTTTTTGAAATTTCAAGAAAGAAGAATATGTAGTCCTATTACTATTTTTAATAAGTAAATTAATGGATTCTAATTCTTTTTCTAAATCTGAAATAATTCTTCTATATTCTTTTAAATTTGTTCTTTCTTTGGATAAGTCCATATTGTCATAGTTATTCGCAAGGAAGTATTTATGAAGAATATTTTTAATTTGTCTCATAACCATCATCATCGAAATTTATATTATTGTCTGAATTTGTTTGTGTATTACCAAAGTTTATAAAATTTATAATACATATATGATAAATTCTTTGGTGATTTCTCATTCTATAATGAACCTGAGAATGATTTCCATAAAAATGTCCTTCAAAACTATCTAGGTAATAAGAATTAGAGGCAAATGTGTTTAATTCATTAATTAGGCACATTAATTCATGTTCTTCCATATCTTTTTCTAATGTTGCCTGTAAATCTTCCAAAATTATTTTTTCTTGAAAATGAGCTAATTTTAATTTTTTCAATATAATCTTAATTAAAACCGGATAAGGAAATCTTTGGAGTAAATAAGTTATCTTTGTATCAAAATTTTGGATAAAAATTATATCTGATAATTTTTTGTCTGAATTAGATTCTGAATAATTAATTTTAAAATAATTTGAAAAATACCTCTAACTTGTGAAATTTGAATTTTCTTTGTTTGGTTCTATTTTAAAA